TAAGCAAAGTATTGTTTCAATATAATTTTGAATTAAAAATGTGTCCACTTGAAAAATTTATCAAATGAAGTGAGGAAATAGTAATTCATAAAGTAGATATTTACTACAAAAATAAAATATTTAATTAAGACAACTTGAGACAAGACTATGAAGTCTCTTGAGGGAAGAACTGGATCTCATTCATCTTTGTATTCTTTTTAATGCCAAGCAGCTAGGAAGTACTCAATAAATACAGGTCAAATTTTAAACAGTTTAATATTCTAGATTGATATTAACCAACTTCAAGGTCAGCAGATGTAAGGTCAAAAACCACTAAAATACCAACAAAATTATTTAACATTAAATTAGCATATGGATACTACCTTGCTTGGTGAAAATGATATAAAAATTAAGAAGAACCATAATGGATACGAGAGGGCAGAAACAGTTGATACCTTAGGACATACAATCCTATTAGAGATGTGAAAGCCATAACAGAATTTTTAGAATTCCAAGGAACCGTATGTAACAGTTCATTAGAAGAAAAATGTCAGATGATCACACAGAATTGAAGATGATACAGAATTTCACATCCAGCTCCTGTAGTCTGAAATGGAATTGAGGTTGTATCTTTATGGAAGGAAAGACCATGCAGAAAGGGACAGAGAATATTCAAGATGAATTTAACTGTATGATCAAAAGCTTGTGTAACAGTGGTCCCCAGGAAAGGGGGAGGTTCCAGGTTCCCTGCCCCACCCAAATGGAGGGTGGAGCTGAGCAGAGAGAGAAGAAGCTGCAGAGAAGACTGAGGAAGGCAGCAGGATGGAGCCAGAAGGAGACCTGGAGGAGGCACATGGAGCCTAGAGACACGTGAAGAAACTGCACTTGTCTTTTGGTCATGGACTGGGTGACACAGATGTGGGTAAGACCCGTGGGGAGGTAACAATGGCAGCTTTTATCTTGATTTTGATTTTGCTCTTTTCCTCCCGGGCTTGTCTGGTTGTTTTTGACCCTTTTCTGTGGGTCCCCACTGGAAGATGCTATGAACTTGTGGCAGGCTTTGGGGCCTTGCTCTGGGCCAATCCCATTTGGATGGAGTTTTACCCACGAGGGGACGGGTAACTTTGGGTGCTTAATTTAGAAACTATATTCTTTGCCTTTCCTGTATTGTTTCCTAATTGTATTAAAGTTCCTTCCCATTAAAGTCTCATACGTTTTGTGTTTATGCAGCAGATGGCAGAACCCATTTAGAGCAGGCAGGTTTTGGGGGGATCTGGGGTGCACCTCTTCCTGCCCTGTAACACTTGGAGTTAGGAAAGCACAAGATCATTTAGAAATTTAAAAAAAAAAGAAAACTTGGGGCCTCCCCTGGTGGCGGTGAGGGTCCCACAAAACAAACAAACAAACAAACAAACAAAAAAAACCCAACTTGACTACAGTGTTTATATATGAATAAGAGGAAAGACAAGGTCGAAGGGGACATTTAATGCTCAACAGAAGTCTGGACTGAAGGACTGATTCAAAGAATAAATGGCTTTTATGACACAAAGTAACTTACTAAGAGAGGATAAATTACCTGATGCTTTTGTATTCTATTGTTATGAGGAAGTTAAACACAAAAAAGCACCCAAGTGTACCTTTAGGGAACAAATATTCCTAATTCATTTATACATTTTTGCCTTAACATTCTTTTTAAAGTACCAAGGAATATAAACAATTTTATAACAGTGGAATGATGAGACCCGTTTATATGCTTAAATATGAATATATATAAAATGCATATAATATATATAACAGTAATATAAGTATACATATAAGTATATGATATATAATATATAAAAAAGTTTGATTTTACTTTTTTAAAATAGGAAACAATTTTCACTTAAAAATTTTTAGTAAAATGAAATAAAGTAAAAATGAAAAAAATGTATAGCAGTTGGTCAACCAGGGATTGGTCTCTTGCTTAAGATATAACTTGATCTGAATGGAAATTATTTAGAAATGTGAAATCTGAATCCACTCCTACTGTCCTAATTGCTTATAAAGAGTAACTGGTGTAGCTCTTAGCTATTCTTAGCATAAAACTTGGCACTTGTGGCACTATACTGATATAAACTCATTTAGAGAAGAAACTGTTATTGACTAAATACTGAAATGAGAAAGCAGTGTTTTGTTGAAAAGTACCACAGCATTCCAAATTTGACATGTTACATTTTGAAGCCATCTTTTCCTCACATATTTTATTTTTAAAAAAGTGTTGTGGAAAATGTCAAACATATACAAAAGCATAATAAGATAAGGAAACCGCATAACCCAGCTTTGAACATTTCAACATTTTGTCCAATGTTATTTCAATTATCACCTCCTCAGATTTTCCTTCTGAAATATTTTAACACAAATCTCAGGAATGGGATGTTTATACACAAATATTTCAAAATATATCTCCAACAGATATAACCTTAATAAAAAAGATACATTAAAGGTGACTGTTCTTCCTGAAATTTGTCTCTTCTCAGTAAATGGCTCAAGCAAAAACCCTGGAGTTGTCCTTGACTCATCCTTTTCTCACACCCCAAAAGCAATCTAAGAAACAATGCTGGATAAATTCTTAACTTCTCCTGCTAACTTATACATAAGTTACATTGCCTTTTTTTGCTTGTCTTATTATCAGCTATGGTTCTCAATGGTCTCTCTAATATCTCCGCAAACTCAGTTTTTGTACTTGATCACTCTGCCTGACATGCTTTTCCTTCAAAAAACTGGCAATAAGTTACCATCTTCAGGTCTTTTTGAATTTGATCCTACTAGAAAGAGTTGTCCTGACCATCATGTCTATACAATATGGCAATAACTGCCATCCCTCTTGTCTTTTTTCCATCACCACCTGATGTATTTACTTGTTGTCCTCTCTTGCTAAACAGTAAGCAATAGGAGGGTAGGCATTTTGTTGCTTTATTCACTGCTGTATTACCAGTATCCTGAATAGTAGTGACAGACATGGAGAAGGTATGAAAATTATATGATAGCTAATAAATCAGGATAGAATTTAAAAACTTTTTTCCTAGAGACTTTTAAACAAATTTAAACTTCATTTAGGAAGTGTATCCTTTGAGCATTTTGCAGATTACTTTTTTTAAAAGGAGGGCCTGCTGATAATTGAAGTTCTAGTATGTGTTTTATTTAAGCAGTGTGGGTTATATACCTGAAATGTATCTAACTATTTAACAGTGGCATTATTTAGTGACAAGTCCACATTCAGCATATAGAGTCAGGGGAATCCTCACTTAGATAACACCAAAGGCTTTGCCTCTAAAACAGGCAACATTACGCCTGACAAATCAAAATTAATTTAGGCCCTCAATCATTCATTGCACCTTGTTTTTAAATTATAAGTAGGTTAATTTAAATAAAGAAATAGCTTTAAGTTTTAATGTTTTTACAACAATCCTTATATTTTAGTAGAGGAGGAGGAGAAGAATAAGGTTAAGGCAGCTAACCTAATTACTTACCATGCAGATTTTGGAATTTGTAAATCAAGACCTAGAAGGAATTTCTCTTCTCTTAGTGTTATTTATTTAAGTGTTACTGAAATGCTCCAGTTGTACTCGATGATCTTTAAGGTCTGTCTAGGCTGGAGCATTTTATTTTTCTCTATATTCTAAACCTGCAATACTTAGGCAGGAAGAGAGAAGCAGCTTGCAGTAATAGTTGAGACAGCAGTGAACTATTTACTAGCCGTGCAAGTTAAGCAAGTTGCTTAACTTCTCTGGTACTGCTTCCTCATATATAAAAGAGGTTTAGTATCATCTACCTGGCAAAGTTACAGAAAGGACTGGAGATAACCTGTCACATGCCCAGCAAAAAGTCTGACAGAGTTGTTTTTTTTTTTTTTTCCCACAATATACAGAGTTTGTTACCTCACTCTAGTTCTATGATTCTATTGGCAAGAATACAGCAACACAACATCGACTCTGTCAGTAAAACTGGGTTAAAGGAGACAAGGAAAGTAGTAAAGCAATACAACCGATGTGCATTTCAGTATTTGTAATCTGGTTGGTATGCAACACTAGAAAACAATTCCTGTTTTCTCTTTACAAGAGAATGTTGCGACTGTCACTCTGTCCTTCACTTAAACACCAGATTGTTTATAAACTCTGTGGTGGTGAAATTTACATCTGTTCATAGATTTAACCGAGTTGGCGTAATGTGGGTGATGACTGCACAAAACTGTCCGAGAGCGCCCCAGTAATGACACTTCCTCGGGGGTTGCGGAATACCGCGAGAGAGTTAACCTCCCCCCTTCCAGCGTCTTCGAAACAGACCACTGTCACTTGACTACAGACACAACAAAAAATCTCCCCATCTCTCCCTGCCCCCCTGTGACTGCTTCCTATTTTTAGAGTAAGTGGGAAGCCCCGAACTCCAGTTTCCGCGGCCGTGGCAAAGTCTGGCCGGCAAGGGCTGATCTCCGTTTCTCCCACCGACCGCCAAGCCCAGAAACAGCCCCTTCAGAGGGAGACAAGGCTGGAGGGAACCGTGGGCAGCTCCCTGGGCTGAGGGGCAGGAAAAGGAAACTTCCTTCTTGGACTTGGCGGGGCGTGTCGGAGAAACGAAAGGAAAGGGTGGGGGTGGCGCAGGAAGGGTCCGCGTCTCAGCTACCCCGCGGGGCTCGCCAGGCCTCCGCCCGCCCGGGAGGGCGGTCACTCGAGCGCCGTCGCCGCGGGGTCGGGAGGCGGCCCGAGGCCGAACCCCGGCCGAACCCCAGCGGTCCCCGGGTCCCGTCCCCACCCCGCCTCGCTTCCCGGGCAGCGGCGGTTGGACAGGAGCGGCCGGGAAACGGCTGCCGGGCCCGCAGGGGCGCCAGGCCGCGCCCATCACCCCGGCCTCCGGCCGCGGCAGGCCCGTCGGGCGGCCAGCGACCCCGGGCGCGCAGGGCGCCGTCGCCTCGGCCGCGCAGCCGGGCGGCCTCGCCGGGGCCCTCCCGGGCACCGCCCCCCGCCGCCCCCCACGCCGCGCGGTACCTGCACAGCACGGCTGAGGAAGGTGCCGGCGTCGGCCGCCAGCTTCTTCACATTGAAGTCCATGATGTTCATCCTGGGCGGCAGCCGGGCGGAGCCGCCGGCTGACCCAGCAGGGAGGCGGAGGCGCCGCGGTCGGGCCCGGACGCCAGGCTCGGGCGGCGGGGGCAGACGTGGGAGGCGGCGGGAGGCGGCGCCAGCCCCGCCGCCGCAGCTGTCGTTTCCGTGAGGGGGGAGTGCAGGGCGGGCGGGGCGAGGAGGGAGGATGAGCGCCTCGAAACGGGCCGCACGCCCGAGAGGGGGCGCCGGCCGGGACGCTGGGCCTGTGCGGCCGGGGGTGTAACGCCGGCCCTGGGCCGGGGGGACGCGGAGAGACGGACAGAACGGCGGCCCGGCCGTCCGAGGCCGGGTTCCCAACGGAGGAACGGAGCGCTGGCCGCGGGGCGGAGCCTGCGGAGAGGCTATCGCGGGAACAGCGACCCCTGCAGGAGCGCGGCGGGGCGGCCGCGGGGCGCGCCGGGAGCTGGGCCGACGCCCACGGAGGGCGGGACGGAGGGAGGGCGCGCCCGGCGCGAGGGGCGCGCGGTGCTGGGGCGCTCGTCGCCGCCCGTTGGCCGTTCCCTTGAGGGTCAAGCGCGGGCATGTCTGCGTTTCCCCCGTCACAAAAGAGAAAATATGGAATTTATGGCGTAGAATTACAGTTTCTCTGAAATTAGAACCAGCCCTCGTTTCATCCGTGTGGTACCTGCGTGCGCCTCGGTGGTCCCAGGCGCCAGGGTGGTGCTCAGCTCATGCTGGCAGAATAGGCTTGAATTGAGTCTCTCCAGTCAGCCTGTTGTTGTTCGTTTATTCGGCATCGTTGAGTCGCTGACTCAGGTGCTGGAGATACCGTGCTGAGCAACACTCTAAGCCTGTCCGCAAGAAGCTGTCAGTTTCCTTGACAACCTTGGGGGGCGTTATCGTCCTCTCAACCCCCCCATTGAGAAGTTTGTAACTTTCTGCTGCCACAAGGAGTCTGTGACTGTCTTAAGGTGGCATGGCACGCCCTGGAGTACAGGAACAACACTAAGTGCCTACTGTGTGCAAAGCATAGTGCCCAGGACACCCAAGTGCCAAGTGAAGGACTCAAAGAAGTATAAACTGGTGAGTGAGATGAGTCAATGTGGCGAATTTTAACCACAGAGTAAGAAGATAGGGTGAAATCTGTTTACAAGCCTATTATTTCGAGTAACTTCTTAACAGTTTTCACAATGAAATCTGTTTGAGCTAAGTCAAAAATAGGAGCAAACATGAAGGAGAGAATTTTTTTGTGTGTCGTTGTGACCTTTTGTGTGCTTGTGACCTGCTATAAAATGCAGGTGCAGTAGGCAATGAAATAAGGTCACATTCAGCCATCAGTGTTTTACTGACCCAGCAGTCACAGAAGCAGTGGCTGTTGTTAAAAGCTAATGTGCTCTTATTCTTTTGGGTGGCTACAGAAGCAACCACTTTTTTTGGTATGAATTATTTTATTTTATATAATTCTTACATCGTTTTTCATTTTTGCATGATGTATGCATTTTCATTTTGATTATATTCCCTATACAATTCCCACCCCCTTTTTCTGACCCTAATCCCTCTTCTCCCTCTGCCCCCCACTGTAGTGTGTCTCTGTTGCTTGTTGATTTTGATTTTTACTTTATTGCAATTAGTCTTTTTCCTGGTCCATATTTAGGTTTTCTAAATTCCTGCTATGAGTGAGAACATCCGGTATTTTTCTTTTACTTTCTGGCTTATTTTGCTGAGCATGATCCCTTCCAACTCCATCCAAGCAACCCTTTTTTCTAAAGTGATTCTAGTAGCATGAATCTCCCAGACAAAAAATAATCCATGTATCTTTCATCTCAATTTGTTTTTTTCAGTAATATAGATAAGGAAATATATAGAAAGTAATCTTGGTTTTCCTTTATTGTCCATTTAACATTTTCCTTACCACCGCCCTTTACATCAGCTGTTCTTCTCCCTCTCCCCTTAACCTCAGAACCCTCACAATATTTATTAATGTCCACTAGTTTTTGTAAGTATTTTACTTTGCCAAATCATCGCTATCTGGATATCCAGTATGTTATCATTTTGACTTGCTTTACTACACATAATTCTCTCAAACTTCCTCCATTTTGCTGAAAATGGCTCCATTTCACCTCCCCGTATGAGAATAGTATTCTGTAGTGTAGATATACCACATCTTGCTGATCTAATCACCTACTGATGGATGTTTAGGTTGCTTCCAAATCCTAGCTATTGTAAATGACGCTGCTTTGAACATTGTAGAACATAAATAGGGTTTTTTTTGTGTGTGTGTGTTGATGATTACACATTCTTTGGCTAAATACCCAAAGAATGGGATTGCTAGGTTGTGGGTTTCCATTTTTAATTTTTCATCTTAATTTTTTAACTTTCCATAATGTTTACATAAGTTTATAGCCCTGACAACAGTATAATAGGGTTGGCTTTCCAATTGTCCCAGCACAATTTATTAGAGACTGTCCTTTCCCTTTGTAGGGACATAATTGTTTTCATCATAGATTAAGTACTGATATGTACATGGGTTTATTTCCAGACTTTCAATTATACTCCATTGTGCCATGTGTCTATTTTTGTGCCAGTACTATATTGTTTTTAATACCGTTGTTTATAGTACAACTGAGGTCAGGTAATGTTCCATTTCTCTCCTTTTTCTCTCAGGGTTACTTTTACAATTCTAGCCCTTTTATGGTTTCAAAAATATTTCAATCTTTTTTGCTCAATTTTATTAAAAAATGTTGGTATTTTGGTGGGAATTGCATTACATTTATATATAGTTTTAGGCAAGATAGTCATTGATTATGTCGATTCTCCCCATCTCTGAAGGATATCTTTCCTTCTGTTGCTATTTAAATCATTGTATAGGTCCTTTATTCCTTAGTTGGGGTAATTCCAAGCTATTGAATTCTTTTTGAAGCAAATATAAATGGAATTATTTTCTTGATTTCTTTTGCTTGTTCATTTTTATATATAAAAAGTTACGGATTTTTGTACGTTGATTTTGTAATTGGCCATTTTGGTGTATTCATCTATTATTTCTAATACATTTTTTATGGAGTCCTTAAGATTTTCTGTATATAATATATTGTTACAAATAGTGATAGTTTCACTTCTTTTCTGACTTATTTCCTGTTTTTGTCTGATAGCTCTGACCAGACTTTTTAATACAAAATTAGCAGAAGTGGTAACAATGGGCATCCTTATCTTATTCCTGATATTAAGGGGAAAGCTTTGAGTTTTTCTCCATTAAGTATAGTATACTGATTGTTGATTTGTGATACATGGTTTTTGTTATATTGAGATAGCTTCCTCCATACCTATCTTTTTTAGAATTTTTATCATAAATGGGTGCTAAATCTTATTAAATGCTTTCTCTGTATCTATTGATACTATTGTATATGATTTTCTTATTTTTGTCAATATGATACATTACATTGATATTTACATATATTAAGCCATCCTTGCATTCCTGGGGCAAATCCAACTTGATCATGATGTATAGGCCTTGTGATATATTGTTGAATTCGATTTGCTGGAGTTTTATTGAAGGTTTTTTTTACACCAGTTTTATTTGCCAATAATATAGTTGTGCTGTCTTTATCTGGCTTTATTATTAGGGTAATTTTGGTATTGTAAAATGTATTAGGGAACTTTCTTTTTGGATTTTTAGAAACAATTTGAGCAAGGTGGACTTTAGTTTTTCTTTAAAAGCTAAATAAAATTCATTTATAAAGCTGTCTGGTCCTAAACTTTTGGGAAGATTTTTTAAATTGTTTCAATTTCTATGCTTGGAATTGGTTTGTTCAAATCATTTGTTTCTGACTAGGTTAGTCTTGGTAAATTATATTTGTCTAGATATTTAATTTGTGAGTTTATCAGATTCATTGCCATAGTTGTTTATAGTTATCTCTCATGATACTTTGCATTTCTGGGCTAGCTGTGGTAATTTTTTCTCTTTCATTTGTGACTTTATTACTATTTTATCTCTTTGTTTTATTGTTGTTAGTTTAGCTAGAAGTTTTTCTATTTTGTTTATCTTTTTAAGAATCAACCTTAGTTTAATTGAGTTTTTAAAAATCATCTTTTTGATCTTTTTTTTTTTCCCACCCTAATATTTACTATGTCCTTCTTTCTGTTGCTTTGGGTCATGTTTCTCTTTTTTCAAGTTGCTGTAGGTATAATATGTTATTTGGTGGGGGGGTTTCTTGCTTCTTAATTAGGGCCTGTATTATAATTATTTTCCCTCTTCAGATCACTTTTCTTCCATCCCATAGAATCTGGTAATTTATACCCTCATTTTTGTTCATCTCAAGTTATTTAAAAATTTTTTTTTCTTTTTTATCCAAGAACTGCTAAGCAGCATATTATTTAGTTTCCATGCAGTCATAGTTTTTCCTGTTTTTTTTTTTTTCCCCCTTAATACTTGATTTTTAGCTTTATGACATTTTGGTGAGAGAGAGTAGTGGGTATAATTTAGATCTTTGTAGTTTTATTGACAACTTACTTGTGTCCCAAGATGTGGTCTATTCTTGAAAATGTTCCCTATGCACTTGAAAAAAATGTGTTTGCAGCAGTTTTTATGTGGAGTGTTCTGTAGATATTTGTTGAACTTACTTGTTCTAACTTCTCATTTGAGACTATAATTTCCTTATTTATTCTTTGACTTGTTTTTCTGCTCATAGTTCTCTGTCCATAAGGTGTTAAAATCCCCTAGTAGTATTGTGTTGTTGTCAATCTATCTCTGTAGTCTTGTTTTTAATTATCATTGTATCTCAGTGCTCTATCATATAGTGCAAATGTATTTATGTGTATCTGTTATTATCCTTTTTAATTGGAAGTTTGTTTTATTTGATACAAGTATTGCTGTTCTGTTTTTTTTTTTCTTAAATTACCATTTGTTTGTAGGACTGTCTTCCAGCCTTCAACTCTAAGTCTGTGCCATGAGGTGGGTTTCTTGTAAACAGCAGAAGGTTGGACTTTGTTTTAAAATCCATTTAGCTATTCTATACCTTTTGACTGGTGATTTCAGGCCATTTACATATAAGGAAATTATTAAGACATAAGTGCTCATTGCCATTGCAT